ACAACTGCAAAAAAACTGAGTGCACTGGTTTCTTAAAGGTTTGTGGAAAAAAATGGGCTTGGGGGAAGGTTGAGGTTCGTTTGTTTTGTTTTATATTTAAATTATATCATTTGAGGGACATAAATAGGATCTACACATTGGACCAAAATATCGTCTTACCGGCCGTCAGTTGCTCTGTTTTCTAAATAACCGGTGTTGACATCGGCCGTCAAATGAACCATCTACACTGTACGACATTAAATTTATCTACTTCCACCAAGACAAGCAAGTAAATCCATCAGGTTCACTCGCAGGTCTTGATAATTGTAGTAGTTGATAATTTGCAATTTTCGTCATCAATATCGTTTGATTGATTCGTTTTTATTTCGAGTTTGTGCCAAAAAAGAAACAATAATCACACAAACTATATAAACAACAGAAAAGCACGTTTCTTGAAAAGAAGCGGGAAGAAGAAAAACTTGTATTAACCCCCCCGTTCATGACATAGTTTCAAAAATAATGTGGTTTCTCATGAACATTGATCACGAAATTTTACAAATATTTATAAATAGTAAAGTAAATTTCATACTACGGTCGTACAAATTAATAATAATGATAAAATAAAAATAAAAAACACAAAAGTTTAATGTTTATAATCGTATCAAAAAATATGATCAAAATACTCCCTACCACTGTACAACAACTCACCTTTATGTAACAGATAATACTCCCTACGACTGTACAACAACTCACCTTTATGTAACAGATAATACTCCCTACAACTGTACAACAACCCACCCTTAAGTGACAGATAATACTCCCTACAAACTGTACAACTCACCATTATGTGACAGATAATACTCCTACGACTGTACAACTCGCCATTATGTGACAGATAATACTCCCTACGACTGTACACCAACTCACCCTTATGTAACAGATAATACTCCCTACGACTGTACAACAACTCACCCTTAAGTGACAGATAATACTCCCTACAACTGTACAACAACTCACCCTTAAGTGACAGATAATACTCCCTACAACTGTACAACAACTCACCCTTAAGTGACAGATAATACTCCCTACAACTGTACAAAAACTCACCCTTAAGTGACAGATAATACTCCCTACAACTGTACAACAACTCACCTTTATGTAACAGATAATACTCCCTACAACTGTACAACAACTCACCCTTATGTGACAGATAATACTCCCTACAACTGTACAACAAACTCACTTTTACGTAACAGATAATACTCCCTACAACTGTACAAAAACTCACCCTTAAGTGACAGATAATACTCCCTACAACTGTACAAAAACTCACCCTTAAGTGACAGATAATACTCCCTACAACTGTACAAAAACTCACCCTTAAGTGACAGATAATACTCCCTACAACTGTACACCAACTCACCCTTAAGTGACAGATAATACTCCCTACAACTGTACAACAACTCACCCTTATGTAACAGATAATACTCCCTACAACTGTACAACAACTCACCCTTATGTGACAGATAATACTCCCTACAACTGTACAACTCGCCTTTATGTAACAGATAATACTCCCTACGACTGTACAACAACTCACCCTTATGTGACAGATAATACTCCCTACAACTGTACACCAACTCACCCTTAAGTGACAGATAATACTCCCTACAACTGTACAAAAACTCACCCTTAAGTGACAGATAATACTCCCTACAACTGTACAACAACTCACCCTTAAGTGACAGATAATACTCCCTACAACTGTACAAAAACTCACCCTTAAGTGACAGATAATACTCCCTACAACTGTACAACAACTCACCTTAAGTGACAGATTAATACTCCCTACAACTGTACAAAAACTCACCCTTAAGTGACAGATAATACTCCCTACAACTGTACAACAACTCACTTTTATGTAACAGATAATACTCCCTACAACTGTATAACTCACCTTTATGTAACAGATAATACTCCCTACGACTGTACAACAACTCACCTTTATGTGACAGATAATACTCCCTACAACTGTACAAAAACTCACCCTTAAGTGACAGATAATACTCCCTACAACTGTACAACAACTCACCCTTAAGTGACAGATAATACTCCCTACAACTGTACAACTCGCCCTTATGTAACAGATAATACTCCCTACGACTGTACAACAACTCACCTTTATGTAACAGATAATACTCCCTACAACTGTACAACTCACTTGTATGTGGTCCGTGGGGCACCTAGGTAACGTTGTAGTTGAGAACGCACTAATCGAGACCAAGACCAGTCCGAGACCACGACAAGACCAAGACCTCTGAGGGTCGAGACCAAGACCAGACCGAGACTTTTAAAGGCCGAGACCAAGACCGAGACTTTTAAAGACCGAGATAAGTCCGAGACTTTTAAAGGCCGAGACTTTTAAAGACCGAGACAAGACCGAGACTTTTAAAGACCGAGACTTTTAAAGACCGAGACCGAGATAAGTCCGAGACTTTTAAAGGCCGAGACCGAGACTTTTAAAGACCGAGACAAGACCGAGACTTTTAAAGACCGAGACTTTTAAAGACCAAAACCGAGACTTTTAAAGACCGAGACAAGACCGAGACTTTTAAAGACCAAGACTTTGAAAGATCAAGACCGAGACAAGACCAAGACTTTTAAAGGCCGAGACTGAGACAAGACCGAGACTTTTAAAGACCGAGACAAGACCGAGACTTTTAAAGACCAAAACCGAGACTTTTAAAGACCGAGACAAGACCGAGACTTTTAAAGACCGAGACTTTTAAAGACCAAGACTTTTAAAGATCAAGACCGAGACAAGACCGAGACTTTTAAAGACCGAGACTGAGACAAGACCGAGACTTTTAAAGACCAAGACTTTTAAAGATCAAGACCGAGACAAGACCGAGACTTTTAAAGGCCGAAACTGAGACAAGACCGAGACTTTTAAAGGCCGAGACTGAGACAAGACCGAGACTTTTAAAGACCGAGACAAGACCGAGACTTTTAAAGACCGAGACCGAGACAAGACCGAGACTTTTAAAGACCGAGACCGAGACAAGACCGAGACTTTTAAAGACCGAGACTTTTAAAGACCGAGACTTTTAAAGACCGAGACTTTTAAAGACCAAGACTTTTAAAGATCAAGACCGAGACAAGACCGAGACTTTTAAAGACCGAGACAAGACCGAGACTTTTAAAGAGACCGAGACAAGACCGAGACTTTTAAAGACCGAGACCGAGATAAGTCCGAGACTTTTAAAGACCGAGACAAGACCGAGACTTTTAAAGACCAAAACCGAGACTTTTAAAGACCGAGACAAAGACCGAGACTTTTAAAGACCGAGACTTTTAAAGACCGAGACTTTTAAAGACCGAGACTTTTAAAGATCAAGACCGAGACAAGACCGAGACTTTTAAAGACCGAGACTTTAAAGACCAAGACTTTTAAAGATCAAGACCGAGACAAGACTGAGAGTTTTAAAGGCCGAGACCGCGACTTTTAAAGACCGCGACTTTTAAAGACCGAGACTTTTAAAGACCAAGACCGAGACTTTTAAAGACCGAGACTTTTAAAACCGACTTTTAAAGGCCGAGACTGAGACAAGACAGAGACTTTTAAAGACCGAGACTTTTAAAGAGATCAAGACCGAGACAGACCGAGACTTTTAAAGACCGAGACCGAGACTTTTAAAGACCGAGACTTTTAAAGACAAGACCGAGACTTTTTAAAGACCAAGACCGAGACTTTTAAAGACCGAGACCGAGACTTTAAAGACCGAGACTTTTAAAGACCAAGACTTTTAAAGGCCGAGACTGAGACAAAGACAGAGACTTTTAAAGACCGAGACTTTTAAAGATCAAGACCGAGACCAGACCGAGAGTTTTAAAGACCGAGACCGAGACTTTTAAAGACCAAGACCGAGACTTTTAAAGATCAAGACCGAGACTTTTAAAGACCAAGACCGAGACTTTTAAAGACCGAGACCGAGACTTTTAAAGACCGAGACTTTTAAAGGCCGAGACTGAGACAAGACAGAGACTTTTAAAGACCGAGACTTTTAAAGATCAAGACCGAGACCAGACCGAGACTTTTAAAGGCTGAGACCGAGACAAGACCGAGACTTTTAAAGACCGAGACTTTTAAAGGCTGAGAAATAGTCACTACAGCAGACCCCTCCCACCACCACAAAACGTACAAAAATAAGAAAATAAATTACGTGTCATAAAAACAATGTTTTTTTGTTTGTTTTCTTGAATCGTTCAGTGCGAGATTGTGCATAAAACTCAAAATTTTTACGAACATGTGCTTAAAGAGTCGATATTACACTCATTTTGTTCATCACAGATCATCATATTACCTTGTTTTGCTTTGAAAATGCAATATCGACCAAAAACAACATATTAAACCCTCCCCGTGCTAAGTCACTCCCCCTTCAGAGCGATATCACAACATTAAAACGCGGTAGAAAACTCCTAAACTCACTCGTCGGCGTTGGTTGGCGAAAACGAAGCAGTAAAATCATTACGACGTGTTTTGCGCTGAGGGAGTTTGAGAGTTGAAAGTGAACACCGAAGCCAAAAGCACCACCTCGTGACATCAGCGGGTGGAGTAGAGCCTTTTGAGGTTTTGAAATGGTCTAAAAGTGCTTTCATAAGGCGAATCAAGCTCCACCAAAACACCACTCTGGGGATGTGGACCAGAGTTAAAACGGTGTACGAAAGTCAAAAGGTCTGGCACAGTATGAGCCCTTTAACCTCACAGTCCAGGATTAACACTTCCAAAAGAATCTGTATAGAATAAAACTTCAATCAAAAGTAGCTCTTATCAAATCTTGGGATATATTAAAATACTCATGGAGCTTAGGGTTAAGGTTTTCAAACGATTCAGGAGCCACTGGTTTTTTTGTTTGTTTGTTTTTTTTGTTTGTTTTTTTGAGTCGCTGTGGAGTCCCGCTGCGCTCCGCTCGGCTCCTGCTCGAATCTTCTTTCTGTGCAGGGAAAGTTGTGGGACTTACCTCCGTCTCCGTACGTCTCCACGCCGTATCCGTCCTGCAGGCCGTTGGTCCAGGTGCCCTCGTACCTGGCGGGTGTGTTGAGGCTCTGGCGCACCCCGTAGCGCCCCTTGTAGCCGTGCGCCCACTCGCCCCGGTAAATCCATCGGCCCTTGTTCTCCACGCCGAGTCCGTGCCGCTTGCCCTGAGCCCAGTAGCCCTGGTACTGGTTCCCGCTGGGCCAGGTGTAGGTGCCCACTATCTCGAAGCCGTTGGACCAGGAGCCGGAGTACTCCCCCTGACCCTTGGGCCCCGTGCACACGCCGTGGCCGTGGGCTTTACCGTCCTCCCAGCCCCCGCAGTACGTACCCCCATCGTCAAAGTCGAAGCGGCCGCCCGTCATCAGACTCGCGGGAGAGGAGCCGGCGGGCTGCGGGTGAGGTGAGGTCTGCGGGCGGGGGAAGGATGAACCGTGAGGGGCCGCTGAGCGCGCGCGGCCCGGATCATGGGCAGAGAGCGGGAGACTGAAGCGGCAGGAGGGATGTGAGAGGCGGCCGCCACGACTACTCTGTGCTCCCCTGCTGCTGCTGCTGCGTGTGCTGGGGGCACCCACTCACTGACAGAGCGGCTCCCCCGCTCCAACACTGGCACCCAGGGGAGAGCGCATCCGGGCGCGCCTTTCACAATAAAAGCCCAACGGAAAAACAAATACAAGCGGCAGAGGAAGATGGGCAGTCCAGAGACTCCCACAGACTCCCACAGACTCCCACAGACTCTCAGAGACTCTCAGAGACTCTCAGAGACTCCCACAGACTCCCACAGACTCCCACAGACTCCCAGAGACTCCCAGAGACTCCCACAGACTCCCACAGACTCCCACAGACTCCCAGAGACTCCCAGAGACTCCCACAGACTCCCACAGACTCCCACAGACTCCCACAGACTCCCACAGACTCCAGAGACTCCCAGAGACTCTCAGAGACTCCCACAGACTCCCACAGACTCCCACAGACTCCCAGAGACTCCCACAGACTCCCACAGACTCCCAGAGACTCCCAGAGACTCCCACAGACTCCCACAGACTCCCACAGACTCCCAGACTCCCACAGACTCTCACAGACTCCCACAGACTCCCAGAGACTCCCACAGACTCCCACAGACTCCCACAGACTCCCACAGACTCTCAGAGACTCCCAGACCTCCTCTGTAACTTCCTCTGCAAAACATAATCAATGCTCTAATCATTTAGACTCATTTAACATAATCAGAAAAAAATCTTTTGTCACGTTCACATAGACTTCTCACAGTTTAACCAAAACTTACTCAAGTATAAGTAGGCTACACCAGGTATGTCCAAACTATGGCGTGGGGGCCAAATGCGGCCCTCAGACAAATTTTTCTTTGCCCTCAGACTTCCAGGTGAATTGGCCCAAATGACCTTGCATCAATGAAAAACTATTTTTTTTACTGCAAGTTTTTTGAAAATCTACTTTGATAAAGCGAATATTGAATATTTAGTGTTTGGTTTTAAGGATCTTAGCATAAATAAAGACTGATGGATCATTCTAACGTGTGAAACATGCACATATTTCAGCCCTCTGCTTCATCTGTGTTTACATATGTGGCTCTTGATGAAAAAAGATTGGACACCCCTGGGCTACACTGTGAAAAGGCTGCAGGAGTAAAAGTGTCTGAGTAATACAATCTCAATGTAACTAAAACGTTATTCAAGTAAATGTATCCTTATTTATCTGTAATAGATTTAAGATGCATTTGTTTTTATGCTGCCAATATTTGTTCAGATGTGAGTGTGTTTTAGGCTCAGGTCTGTAACACTACACATGTTTTAATTGTTCTGGTGTAATAATTTAGACTTTGTTGAATCAAACTCTACACGATACATAAAAAATTAAATAAGGCTGAATACTGAGTCTGGCATAAAGGAGAGGTTTTATTTTGAAGGCAGGAAGAGAGCGGCGCTGCGCTGTGACGCAGCTGACGCTCCTCGGTAACACCTGATGATATTTTTAGAAGTTCTGGGACTGAAATGGTCGCGCTGAAAAGCTCAGACAGACTGCGCTCGGACACACGTCCTGGAGTTGATTCAGGCCGTTTGCGTAAACAGAGCGCGGAGCGGAGCGGTGCGGGGCATGAGCGTGATTGATGCGCATCAGGCGCCGCGTTGTAAAAGCGCAGTTGTCGCTTCGCGTCAAGCGCGCAGAGGAAACTCCGCTGAGCGCGCGACTCTGGCGCCATCTGCTGGTGACCACAGCGCAGAGCGGGAGAGGTGCGGGGAGTGTTTGAAAAATTAAGTTTTGTTTATGGTTACGGTTGGTTTTATTTTACAACTATTGGACTATTGAAGTTTTGAACCGCACTGCGCCCCCCTGCGGCTGTTTCAGTGAACTACAGCAGTAAAGTAACTCTTATAACATTTATCATGACATAATCCTAAAACTGAGTTGGTCAGAATTGTTCTTTTATCTCACAAAGATGATGTTTTCACCTGGTTTCTTGTAGGTTGAATGATTGATTTCATGTTCAGTGTTTCTCCACAGAACCAACCTCAAACACACGCATCACCCACATGACACGACAATTCTCCATAAATACAAACACATGATACAGAACTGTCCACTGAACTGTACTACAGCTTCACAAACCTGACACGACGTGCACTATTTACTTTAGCAGGACGCATGACTGTTTTGTGGTAACGCTCTGAAGGGGGAGTGACTTAACATGGGGAGTAAGGGAAAAAAGGGGAGCATCAAAGTATGAGAGAGAAAGAGAGAGAGAGATACAGAGAGAGAGAAAGAGATTGATTGATTACATTTATACAGCGCCTTTCAAGATCCCCAAAGCACTTTACTGTTTGTTATTCAGTCACTCCACACTCAGTGGTGGTAAACTACTACTGTAACCACAGCTGCCCTGGGGCAGACTGACAGAAGCGAGGCTGCCAATCTGCACCATCGGCCCCTCCGACCACCATCAACACTCACGTGCACACCGTACTATTCTAGGCAATGTGGGTGAAGTGTCTTGCCTAAGGACACAATGACAGTTTTTTGTCACTGGTGCCCCCCTGTGGCTCCTGATGTTCCCAAAGGTCCCATCCAAGTCCTGACCAGACCCAGCCTGCTTAACTTCTGAGATCTGACAGGATCAGGCTTTGACAAACTGGTATGGCCATGAGAGATAGAGAGAGAGAGGGAGACAAAGAGAGAGACAGAGAAAGAGACTAACAGAGAAAGAGAGACCCAGAGAGAGAGAGTGAGAGACAGAGAGATGGAGACAGACAGAGAGACATGGAGAGAGGGATAGAGACACAGAGAGACTGTGAGGGAGAGAGACACACACACACACACACACACACAGAGACAGAGAGAAACAGAGCGAGAGACAGACAGAAAGAGACAGAGAGAGACACACATAGAGCAAGACAATGAAAGAGACAGAGAAAAGTAAAATACTTTGTCTTTAAGATTTGTTAAGACATTTTAAATCTCACATAAACTCTCTCTCTCTCTCTCTCTGAACGCTGAAGTCTGTGTTAAATGTGTAATTCCTCGGGGGGATGTAAGTTGGAGTTTTTGGAGTCCCTGTGAGGCCGGAGCAGAGCCGCCCACAGACTCTCGATGAGCTCATGCCCCGTTACATCTTAATGTTTCTATATAAGGACATAAACCTGGTTATCAGATGTGCGGGGCCGTGCGTTTGTGTGCCATCTGAGCTCACTGCCTCCAAACTCACACCGGCCGCTCAGCAGAGACGCAACAATCACACAAATATCAACAAACTCACACTCAGCAGAGACGCAACAATCACACAAATATCAACAAACTCACACTCAGAAACAATCACACAAATATCAACAAACACACTCAGCAGAGACGCAACAATCACACAAATATCATCGTAAACAATTATCGTGTCGTCAGAAGTGTCACGGTAACATCTTGGGCCGTCACAGTCAATCAAATTACAAGTCTCTTTGCTTAAATTTATTGTTGTGGTGCAGGAATAAGTAAAAATAAATCAATAAATAAAACGGAGGGAACTGCATAGACCAGACGTGGTCCTGGTCCAGTTCCCCGGCCACATTCGGTCCTTTGGTCGACTCTGACTGGACCCTTTGAGACCATTTGGGTCATACATGGACTAAAGATGTATTACTTTTATTTTAGAGGTGATTTTAATGGTATTTTTGTAAACCAGAACTTAGCCAAGTCTAAACCAGGTCTAGACCAGGTCTAAACCAGAACTTAACTGGGTCTAAATCAGATCTAAACCAGGTCTAAACGAGGACTAAATCAGGTCTAAATTGGGTCTAAACAAGGTCAAAACCAGGTCTAAACCAGGACTAAATCAGGTCTTAAGCAGATCTATACCAGGACTAAACCAGAACTAAACCACATCTAAACCATGTCTACGCCAGGACTAAACCGGGACTAAACCAAGACTACACCATGACTAAACCAGAACTAAACCACGTCTAAACTATGTCTAAACCAGAACTAAATAAGGTCTAAACCAGGACTAAAACAGAACTAAACCAGGTCTAAACCAGGTCTAAACCAGGACTAAACCAGGTTTAAACCAGAACTAAACTAGGTCTGAACCAGGTCTAAATCAGGTCTAAATCAGGTCTAAACCAGGTCTAAACCAGGTCTAAACCAGAACTATAAACCAAGTCTAAATCAAGACTAAACTGGAACTAAACCAGGTCTAAACTCAAGTCTAAACCAGGTCTAAACCAGATCTAAACCAGGACTAAACCAAGTCTAAACCAGGTCTAAACCAGGTCTAAACCAAGTCTAAACCAGGTCTAAACCAAGTCTAAACCAGGTCTAAACCAGGTCTAAACCAAGTCTAAACCAGGTCTAAACCAGGTCTAAACCAGGACTAAACCAAGTCTAAACTAAGATTAAATGGGTTTGGTGTAATTTTATTTATTTTTTTATTTTTTTTTTTTTTTTTTATAAAGAAATACAATTAATATTTTATAGAATTTAGTTAAGAATTTTGGCCCCTATTTTCTGTTTCTCATGTGGCCCCATGGAAAAAAAAAGCAGCCCTCTGACATTGACCATAATGCCATTACTACATGAAGAAACAATAATAACACTAACCATATTTGAATGTTATTTATTTGGATGAGGACAGAACCAAACTCTTGTCAAGGCATTTAAAAAAAAAAGAAAAAGTAGCATATTCATTAAGCTTCACAAAGATCGTGAAAATATCCTGCCGAGAAATTTAAATATGATTACATCCCTACTGCTCAGGAAATGCCGGATGTAGTTTCACTCATCCCCAACTCAAACTGTACGATCAAATCTCGGGGTTTAAAAGTTCACAGTTTATGGAACGACTTCAACACGAGAGGCGATGAACAGGAGCTGGGCATGAGGTGTTAATTGGTTCTCGTTACCGCATGATTAAGCCAAAACTGGGCCCGATCCCAAAAACAGTAGGCTCAGAAAGGGCCAAAACTCACACAGTGTTCGCCCGACTTAAGTGGGATAAATGATGATCTGGTGTAAAAAGAGGATCAGCGTGTCAGAGCTGTCTGGGACGACTGCTCTAACACTCTGTAAGTTTTCTCCATATCACCCAAACTGTTGCAGCTAAAACCTGGAGCACTTCCTGAACATGTGAGACTCAACCTGTTTAAATCCAGACTCAAAACAGTTCTGTTCCGCTGTGCATTTGACGGAAAGGTTTTAATTCTGCTCTCTTCTCTCTTATTTAATGCCTCTCTCTGTTTTTTTTATCTTTATGGTGATTATTTATGTTTTGATTTGTTTGTATTGTGATTTTAATGTATTATTTATTCCGTAAAGCAATTCTGAATTACGCTGAGAGAATATTCACTAGTTTCATGAATTTGCAAAATGATCTTTAGTTACTTCAGCGGTGAGTAGAGTCGCCAACAAATGTACTCAGTGTTATTTCAAAATAATATTACTCACGTAGAAGTACAAAATAATGGTTCAAGAAATGACTAAAATAAGAGTAAAGAAGTATTTGGGGCTACTCAAATAAGAGTAACAGTTGGAATGTAACACATAATATGAAGGACAAAACATGAAATGATGCGCCAAATCAGTTTTTTTGTAAATGTACAGTGGGAAAAACAACCAAAACCTTCACTCTAGTAAGAGTACAAATAAGTCAAATTGTAAGAGTAAGTATGTTGCTATAAGTACTCTTCAAAGTACATTTAGGAAACGTTATTCAAGTAAATGTAACTGAGTACGACCCACCTCTGCTTACTGTACTACAAACTAATACATGAAATAAGATCGTACTACAATATCAAGATAAAACCATTTGGAATCAGTGTAACTCTTATCTGACTGACCTGCCTCCTCCTAGAAAAACAGAAAATATTTTTGTGGAGCCTATGTCCCTCCTCCTGGACGTGCTCTCAGGTTTTTCATTGGTGAATTATGACAGAATGAACAGGACTCCCCCTCCTCACTGATCCACTCACTCAGTTCACGGAGAGTTCCACTGCAGCTCTGCTCAGACCTCGAGCAGCGCACAGTCCTCAGCGATGCCCCTCCTGTGGATCCTCTGGGCTCTGTGGCTCTGCGGACGTGTGCACAGCAACTCTCTACCCTCTGTCCAGGACCACAGCCTTTCTACTGGAACGCAAAGAGACCAGGACCACAGTTCTTCTTCTGGCGCACATGGGGATCAGGACGACAACCCCCCTCCTGGAGCTGACAGGGACCAGAACCACGCTTCCCCTCCTGAAACTCAAAGAGACCAGGACCACAGCCCCGCTCCTGGAACTCACAGGAGCCGTACCAGACGCTCCATTACCCAAAGTGAGATGCTGGCCATACTGGACTACCACAACCAGGTGCGGGCGCATGTCTACCCCCCTGCCGCCAACATGGAGCTCATGGTGAGGAGTTTTTAATGTCAGATGTTTGGGTGTTCGCCAAGTGCACTTAGAGTGTGTTTATATGAACGAGCTGCAGAGCTGCTGTTAGACGTTTGTCTGATTATTTGGATAATCTTCAGCGAGACAGTGGGTCTGTCAGATGAACCTGGGTTTGTCAGGTGAACCTGGGTTTGTCAGGTGAACCTGGGTTTGTCAGGTGAGTCTGGGTCTGTCAGGTGAACCTGGGTCTGTCAGGTGAGCCTGGGTTTGTTTGCTTGTCACTCAAAAGTATTTTTCTGCTGTCACCTGCACATAAAGCCTTCACTGTGTATTTCACATCAGGTGAAAGAAAAGAACACCGCGTATAATGCCAGAGAGCACGTGCATAAATATTCACAGGATTCTGTCCTCTTGAAGCGACTTGTCATAGAAATAAGTTTGTCGATCAGGTGATGAACTCTCACGTGACTCGTGGTGTGTGTTTGGGGTGATTGTATGTGAACAAGACTTGAAGAAAAGAATAACAATCCAACATGACATCTGAATGAGATCTGTCTTAACAGCACACGTGTGTGTGTGTATGTTTCACTGTACACACACACACACACACACACACACACACACACACGTGTATTGTATTGATGTGTGTGTGTCTCCAGCAGTGGGACACAGAGCTGGCTCAGTGGGCGGAGGTGTGGGCGGCCTCGTGTCAGTGGGAGCATGGCCCCGCCCACATGCTCTCCTTCTTTGGGCAGAACCTGTCTGTGAGAACCGGAGGGTGAGTACCTGCTGACCTGATGGACCTGTGTGTCAGGACACGAGTGAGGATGATCTGAAATATTCTGTTTGCAGATACCAGTCTGTGCTGCAGCTGCTCACGCCCTGGTTTGAGGAGGTTTTCTACTATGTGTTTCCGTATCCAAATATGTGCCGCCCCCTCTGCCCCCTCACCTGCTACGCCCCCATGTGCACCCACTACACACAGGTGAGACCCGCTACACACAGGTGAGACCCGCTACACACAGGTGAGACCCGCTACACACAGGTGAGACCCGCTACACACAGGTGAGACCCGCTGCACACAGGTGAGACCCGCTACACACAGGTGAGACCCGCTGCACACAGGTGAGACCCGCTGCACACAGGTGAGACCCGCTGCACACAGGTGAGACCCACTGCACACAGGTGAGACCCGCTACACACAGGTGAGAAAAGTGTGCCCACACCACGAACTTTATTGTGCTGCTCACGTAGGTGCTTAAGACGAACTACATTAGAGTCAGTCCAAATAATTATTGCCTGTTGTGAACTGTGAATTTGTGTCCTACCTACAGGGATGGCAGAAGTGGAAGTCAGAACAAATGGAGGATGTTTAGGGTTTTTTATACTTGGTTCTTAGAGTATTTCTTAACTCTGCAACGTATTTCTTTGCAAACACAGAAAAAACAGTCAGTCTCTGGTAAAAGCTCTAACCTTCTCCCTTCTCATCCCGTGTGTCGTCCTCAGATGGTGTGGGCGAGCACGAGCAGAGTGGGCTGTGCCCTGCACACCTGCTCAAACATGTCTGTGTGGGGCGCTGTGTGGAGAGACGCCGCCTTCCTCGTGTGCAACTACTCCCCCAAGTACACACTTACAGTACACACCTACACGATCATGTGTGTGACGTGTTTGTATCTTTACTCATGTGTGTGGTTCTGTGCAGAGGGAACTGGATCGGCGAGGCCCCGTACAGAGTGGGCGTGCCCTGCTCCATGTGTCCCAGCACCTACAGGGGGCGCTGCAGTAACAACCTGTGTGTGCCAGAGCCACAGTCCAACTACGTCACCTGGTTCAAGTGAAGGAAATGATGAATCCAAGCACACCTCTGGGGACATTACTCGGACGTGTTTTCATTTCCTGGAGACTGATCCTAAACTTAACCATAGTCACTACATGTCTGCTCTTATCCTGTTTTTACACATGTCTGAACTTTAAACCATGTTGTTGATCTAACACACAATTTACATCATGGGGACCTGTTTTATGTCTCCATAAGTGCGGCAGGTCCCCATAATGTTACATCACACCCTCACACTCATACAAACTGTCCGTACAGTAAACACACAGACACTGTGAGGAAACCTGAAGCAGATCTGCAGCTGGACCAGAGTCTGGTTCTCCAAATCTGAGCCTGGACTTTGATCAGGATTCAGGAGGAACTTGTTGGGTCCTGATCGTCTCCACTCTGCAGACGGATGTTTCCCAACATCTGAGCCACATTAGGTGTACACAGGTAGGTCAAAGTATCTCTGGCCTTTTGGCTTCATAACTTTTTACTCACGTTATTATCGCGTTGTAGATGATTGTGTTTCTGTTCACTAAACTAATGTCACTGCACTGAACTTTTGTGTGAGTCAATATACTGTTGACATTTTGTTTTATTCACTAAACTTCAACATTTGTCATTACCATTTTATAGGTAATGACTTTTATTCACTAAACGTTTGTTTCTCATGACTGTACTGTAGTTGTGTTGTTACTAAATTGTTGTAATTACCACACATTAGCTCTTTGTTACTAACTATAACTATCATTAATGCATAGAAGTTATTTTTAATATAGTGTAGACATGCTGTGTCGATTCTCTAAAGTACGGAACCCGAGAGGGGTCACAACAAACACAAACACTGCAACAAATACAAATGCGACAACACAACAAAAAGCCACAACACAACATATTAAAAAAGCCACAACGGAAATGACCGCGGGACTCTATTTTAATGCAAACGCCGCAACAAATACAAACGCCACGACACAAACGCAAATGCCGCAACACATTAAAAAGCCACAACACATCAAAAAGCCACAACACATTAGAAAGCCACAACACATTAAAAAGCCACAACACATCAAAAAGCCACAACACATTAAAAAGCCACAACACATCAAAAAGCCACAACACATTAGAAAGCCACAACACATTAGAAAGCCACAACGGAAGTAACCGCGGGAGTTTATTTTCCGACGGACCGATCAAGCGGCAAGTGAAGAAGAAGAACAATGAAAGAATAATGATAAAACAATAAATTACTTTTACTTACATTTCCAACTTCTCTGTTCCTTTACTTTTCACGTTGTAGTTCTTCTTCTTCACTTGTCGCTTGATCGGTCCGTCGGAAAATAGAGTCCCGCCGTCACTTCCGTTGTGGCTTTTTAATATGTTGTGGCTTTTTGTTGTGTTGTGGCATTTGCGTTTGTGTTGTGGCGTTTGTATTTGTTGCGGCATTTGCATTAAAATAGAGTCCCGCTGTCATTTCCTTTGCAGCTTTTTTTGGTGTGTTGTGTTTTTTTTTTTGGTGTTGTGTTTTTTGTTTTGTTTTTTTGGTGTGTTGTGTTTGGTTTTGTTTTTTTGGTGTGTTTGGCTTTTTTGGTGTGTTGTGGCTTTTTTGTGTGTTGTGGCTTTCTTTGGTGTGTTGTGTTTTTTTTTGTGTGTTGTGTTTTTTTGTTTTTTTTGGTGTGTTGTGTTTTTTTTTTTGGTGTGTTGTGGCTTTTTTTGTTGTTGTTTTTTTTTTTTGGTGTGTTGTGGCTTTTTTTTGGGGTGTGTTGTGGCTTTTTTTTGGTATGTTGTGGCATTTGCGTTTGTGTTGTGGCATTTGTATTTGTTGCGGCGTTTGCATTAAAATAGAGTCCCACAATCATTTCCGTTGTGGCTTTTTTTGGTATGCTGTGGCTTTTTGTTGTGTTGTGTTTTTTTTTTTGGTGTGTTGTGGCTTTTTTTTTTTGGTGTGTTGTGGCTTTTTGTTGTCTCGTTGCATTTGTATTTGTTACGGCGTTTGCGTTTGCTGTGACCCCTCTCGGCTTCCGTACTAAAGTCCTTCTCGTGCTGTCGACGTTTATGTTACTCACTCTGGTCATAATCTTATGTCAATATTGTACTGTAGATGTTTATTCAAAGCTGATGTCATTACTGTACTGTAGGTGTGTGTTTTGTTTTTATTCACTAAACCAATATTACATTACTGTCAGAATCATTGTTTTCACTGATGCCGTAATGGAGATGTTTGTTTTTACGTTCAGCAGGTCATGTTTTTACTCGATAAACTCGTCGATGTCATTGCCAAACTGTAGATTTTTCTTCACAATCGTACTTGATATATTTGTTTTTACTCGCTTAAATGTTGTCATTACCGGACTGAAGCTGTTTCTTTTGACCAAATAAAGTTATGTCATTGCCACGTAGCTGTATTTTTAACCATGGTGCTTATTTAACTCAATCATTGTAATTAACACAATTTAAGGTGCATTTCAGAGTTAAATCAATAGAACAATGTGGTTTTGTTACTCAATACTATGACATAGGTGCTCTTCAATCAATAGTCATGTGTTATTTTGTATAATAAACAATAAAGTTATTTTTTGTATTGTCTTATTGCACTGATATTTGTGTCATTACTGTGTGGTCTTGGCTCTGTGGTCTGGTTGGCACTTGGACGGGAGACTTCTGGAAATTCCAGTTGCCACAATGGAACCAGTGGAAAAAACATTGTCATTGTGTCCTTAGGCAAGACACTTCAACCACATAGTCTGGTACAGGGTCTCCAGTGTTTTTCCTCCAGTGAGCTTTTCCTTTTACAAATTGAAACCGCCAGAGAGCTGCCGATTTTTAGCCTGATTCATCAGCTGGTTTCACTTTGTAGAAACCGTCTGACCTCGCAGCATTAGGATTCATTTGCTCGACGGTAGGCGGGTACTTTTTTTACTTACTTACTTTACTTTTTAATTACGTATATAATGCACCACTAACTGGTATATTAAGCTTTTCCCAAATCCAGTAGGAAGAAGGACAATAACGTCTTTCTCCTTGATGAAACTCATCAAATATTTTCGGCTTTAAATGCTCGATCTCAGGAATCGTTTCCAACACTGAATATATGGCTCTTCACTGATTGGCTGATGCCCAAACTCCCACTTCTGTGTCGCAAAGTTGTGGGCCAAACTAAATATTTATTGAAAAATTTCCACAACATTTGCATGTTTTCTCTTCTTTCAAAACACGTAATGTTAAACCTTTTCTTATTAAAATAAATGTTTAATAATAGTTTTGCTTAAACATTGAATCCAGAACAAACATTATATAAAATAATAACAACATTTTAAATAAATAATGTCTGTATAGTCGATCTGTAGCCAGTGGGCAGCTCTAATACATATTTGATATGATTTCACGGGCCAAATATAATTATGTTGTGGGCCAAATCGCGGGTCTAAGTTTGGCGCCAGTCTGGCTACCCCACTTTAGCATTCGCAAAAAAATGTAGTCTACATAAGAGCCTTGGCGAGCCTTAGATGGGAACAGTAAGATGCCCATAAAACATAAACCACTGTCCATTTATCAGTGCACACAGTTTGGCATCAAAAAGATACATGCACAATGGTAATTCATCCAACTTTACTTATTCAGCAGAATGCAGCAGCTCCAGTCACCGTGTGGATATGTGGCCAGACTGACTCGTCAAAGCCTGATCCCGTCAGATCTCAGAAGCTGAGCAAAGGTCGGGCCTGGTTAGTACTTGGATGGGAGACACTGGGAAAATCAGGAGCCACAGGGGGGCACCAGTCACAAAAAAAACTGTCATTGTGTCCTTAGGCAAGACCATGGACTCAGAAAAAAAAAAAAAAAAAAAAAAAAAAGATTTTCTTAAAAAATTCTACATTTTTTTCGACATTTTTTTTTCTAAAAAAAAAAAAATCTACAATTTTTTTTCTCAGCCACATCAACAGCGAAAAAAAAAAACACACAAGAGAAAAAAGGTTTTTAGAAATTAAATTTTTTTTTTTTTTAGATTTTTTTTTTTTTTGTAGAATTTTTAGAACACTTAGAAAATAGAGCCCAAATGACCTGTCTCTTTTTTTCTCTCTCTCTCTTGCCTCTCAGGGCTTCCGTAGACATGTCTGTGAAAAGCGCTATATAAATAAAGACTTACTTAATACGTAGAATTCAGAAATCCTTTGGTGAGCTGCGTGGTGAGACTCCTGGCCTTGTATGAAAGTGGCATGTGTGATTGTTCTTGTAAGTGACTTTACTCAACAAAGTGACGACATCACTTTCTGACCTGATTCACATAAACACTGATAATACTCTTAAACACACACTGTAACTAAAGTTTAATCAATGAAGACCTCTGACCCCGACAAATACCACAGGATCATGGGCCCGATTTACGACCCAATTTACTTCGCCCCCTCACTTTGTGCGTTGTGGCGTCACAGAGCGGCTCGGTCAATAACACACAGCGTCAGAGGTTTGTTTGTTTACATAAATCCACACGGTGAGGAGCTGCTGTAGATCACCCACAGTAATGGACGTACTTCACTCTAATTTATCTGTGCATTAAAAGCATTGAACTATAACGCCGCTGTAGAAAAACAAAAACAAGAGTATAAAAACAGGTTTAAATTTAAAAACGTAATTTAACAAAAGCTCAACTTACGCAAGCAATATTTATCAAAAAGTCAGGCCCAACTGGAGTTAACTTAAACCAAATTGAACAGAACAAAACTAAACCAAGGAAAAAAGAGGGAAAAAAAAAACAAAACCACAAACTTTGTCAAAGTAACAAGAAGGGAAATAATAATACACCAGTAAATAGTCTTATTACGTCAATTTATACTGTACGCTCAATTCACACTTACGACGACTTGACAAAGACAAAGACGACGAGACAAATTATAATACACAAATTAATAGAAAAAAAAAAAGAAAGAACAGAATGACGTCTAGATCGGGGCCATTTTCTCAGTTTTCCCAAATGTTTTGTGACGTAAGATCAGTGTTGGGGAGTAACAGATTACATGTACC